AGTTTCTTACAAAACTTAAGGTACTCTTACCATAGGATCCAGCATCATGTTCCTTGGTATTTAACAAAAGGAGTTGAAAACTTATGACCACACAAAAATTTGCATATGGATGATTGAGGCAGCTTTATTCATAATTGCCAAAGCTTGGAAACAAACAACCACTCACATTTATTATAAGACTTCTCTTTCTGGTTTAAATACTTAGGTGAAATTTTCAGTGAGATTCTATGACAATAATTTAAAGAGCTTTGAAAACAGTGTAGTATCCTTGCAACCCCCGTCCCCCCCTCAAAAAAAACAAAACAAAAAACAAAACAAAAACAAAACCAAAAACAAAACTTCTTACCTCTTTGCCTATCATCTACATTTAATAGATAAGTTGATATTTTTAAAAGTGGTAAAAGTATGAATATATGATTTATTTTGCATAGAGTGATTTAACAGGGAACTGACTTTGTTTTCATTTTCCTTTATTTAACAGCTATTTCCTGACTGTGCATCTTATAGCTGTCACTATATAAAGAATACAAAGGTTTAAGTTAGTTCTTGCAAGAAAGAAGCTCGCCATCTATTTATATTCTTATTCAAACGACTGCAAAATGACAATTTCTTTTAAAAATAAGGACTATCACTTCAACTCTGGCTTAAATAAGAGAGCTCCCACAGAGAAATCATAGAAAGACATTTATAATCAACCTTTAAATTCATTACATCTTTGTTAACCTAGGTCACTCCATCACATGGCAGGTGAATGTAGAGATTTAATCGATAAGGGGGAGCTACTATGGTAGCTATTGAATTCAAATAAAATACTTTTCCCCCTACAAACCTGCTTTACTATTTTGTGTGAAAGCACAAGATGATATGTTTTTATAAATGTAATCTATAATGGAGTTTCGCAACCTGAGGTGATTTTTGCCCTCTCTCCCCTAATCCAGGGACATTTAGACAACATCTGGTGAAATTTTGGTTATCACAACTATTGCCATCTACTGGTGCTATTGCCATCTAGTGCATAGAGGCCTGGGAAGCTGCTAAACGTTTCCCAATGTACAAGGCAGTACTGACCACAATTACCTGCCCTGAATACCTAAAGTGTCTGGGTTGAGAAACCTTTCTATAAAAGAAGACTTTCCCACCCCCGGACAAATTCCCTGAACATCTTAGTTCTGACAGTGACCTGCAAATCATCACTATAGGTCAGTTTAATTTGATAAGGTGCTCCAAGCTTAAACTAGCTTAATTAAATAGAAAATCAATTATGGACGGAGTTAAGGAGTTATTATCCATATGTCCTGTTTATAAGAGCCTCCTGTTTGACTCTTTCAGGAATTACAAAGGTATCTCATTAGTTCTTTCCACTAGATCCTGAGACCTGTTTGCCTAAAATTTCTCATGCCTAGACAGTAATAGCATGAAAAATGTTCCTGGGTTTACTCATTCAGTATCAGAAAACAAATGTGAACTTATAGTCTAAATTTTCCCTAATAATAATTTCATTTGCACTGTGGAATAAAAATCAAGCTAATTAAACTAAGGAGGTTTAACAAGGTTCCTTATAACTTTATCTTTTCAACAACACTGAAGTCACGGGGCATGAAAAACAAGGGTGTAAACCAAGCTACATGATGTCATAGTCACTAATTATACTCAGGCTCCACCTTTCTCCTTCCAAACTCACTCCATACTGGTTATCACATTTCTTCAAATATTAGAAGTCCAGCTTTGAAAACAAAATAAAGGTACATGACTCAAAGGAAGTAGTAATTCATTCCAATGTCACTTCCTAAAAACTGTGATCAAGGGACCATTCTACTACACCCACTAAAAAGTTCAAACAATGCTGTTACCTATTCTTGATACTTAAAAACAAATTATACTAAGGACCTATGTGCTAACTAAGCAGGGAGGTTTCCTTTCTTTTGTATTCTTGTTTTTATTTTATTTTTCTCAGAACGAGCCAAGATTGCCAGGATTTTAGTCTATGCTGGGAAGAAATCTAGGATCTCAAAACCCTGTAAAATCCTCTCAAATATATTCCCTTAGAAAGGTTGGGAGGGGAGAAGAAAGTGCTAGAAGTTTTAAAAATCATTTCCCTCCCTAGAACAGCAAAAGTACTGTAGTTACAGCCCCACATATATGTAAATAATCTCTCCACTAGCCCACATATCTATCTATAAACTAGGTTTAGTTATTGCTTCCCTGTGGGTTTTGTGAGAGTTAAGTGCTTTGTGATCAGTGAATGGAAGTGATTTAAAAAAATAGAAATAAACTCTTTGCCTTTAAAATAGAAGTGGTTCTAGTTTCCTTTTACAAGCCTGAAGGGTTGTTGTACATATTAAAACCGCTGCATAGCTCCATCCCTGGTCACAGAAATCTCAGCTCCCTCCTCCTTCCTCCCAGAAGATGTCAGATCTCTGGGAAACAGCAGTTACAAAAGGATGCTTTTCATAGCTTGTACTAGAAAACGCTGGCACCCTACTCCTGCATAAAACAGAGCTAAACTGAGTCAGAATGCTGGAAGCTGTGTCTTCTGCTTCCCTTCAAATGAATCTCAATTATTTCTAGAGAGAATTCTAAATAACGCTGCATAGTTTTGCCCATGGACATGACATGTCGATTTTTCTAATCCCCCGTTTGCCCTAGATAATTTTAAGCTTTATCCATCAGTGTACCACGCGAGGAAGAAAGAAAAAATGCAGTTAACACGATGACAGTGTGATCTAGCTATTTGGCATCAATATTAGCAGGAGTCTCTCATTTGACAATTATTTCCCTAGCGTAAAAGACTGTAAGGAGAATGTTTCCATTCACCCGCAAATGACTAACATTTTATTGATGTTTCAAAATGCGGTTGAATACCATTGCGCTCTTAATTTCTGAGCTGGGTTTGAGAGTTAGGCTTGAATACCAATAACATCAGTAACTCCTGCTGCAAACGGTTTGGTTAATTGCCAAGCCTTGGAGTGTCGGTTCAGCGGGGAGGTGATGCTGGTTAGGGGCTCTTCCATCAGCCAGTGTAGTGGTCACAGGTGATGGAACCCTTCCCTTTCTGCACAGATCCTCGTGCACCGCGATAAAAATCACTCTGAGCGCGGCTACCGCCAAGCAAAACGACTCCCTGCCCGCCTCGTAAAGAGCTCAGTCTGGGGAGGCAGCCGGATGCTGACCCCTGCAGAGATTATTGCTTCTGTGCGCCTCGCCAAAGGACCCTGCTAGCATTATGGAAAACGAGTTAGGGACGTGCGAGGTTTTATTTATCTCTTCCAAGAAGAACTGGGATCAGGCGAAGAACATCTTTAAAGGCTGCTTAAGGAGGCTAGAGGTGGAGGAAGGGAAGAAGGAAGCGGGTGCTGAGCGTGTTTTTTAATTACTCTACTTGTGTCTCCCCTTCACTTCCCCGCTTTGCTTTCCAAACTCCTCACTGAACCAGATTGATTGGCTGATTGGCGTAACTGCTATTGACTCCAGCCTCGGGTCTCTCTCTCTCATGGATCTGCAAACAACCCGGAATAGCTAAAGGTTCTTGAAGCTGGACATGCATTCAAGAAGGGACGAAGCAGAAAATGAAGGGGGCGGCCCCTTGCCCAGCACCCCACTCTGCCGTGGGCCAGGACAGCGGCTCGCAGCCCCGGGGCGAGCGACTAAGGGGCTGCGGCGGGGGAGGCCGGGGAGCGGTTCTGCGCCACCGAGCAGGAAGCCTGTCCATCCTGGCCTGGAGGCTGTTAAAAAATGCAATCCTGTGACTCGTTAAACCCCGTAACCCTGCCCTGCCTGGATACAGATGCGCTGATCATCTCGCCTGATCGGCTCCAACGGGCTAAACTGCCTCTTACATAACAGGACGGCCTGGCTCTACACAATTAAAATACTAGATTGTAGTCTCTTCCCGACTCTGCATCCCCGCACTACCCTCCCGGGCCCTCTCAGTGCGCCTGCGTGCAGAGCGCGCACTGGCCCGGCGTGCACGATTCGCGCGCGCGCACGAGCACGCGCATGGCATATACTCACATACATGCACACACTCTACACTTTCAACACACACACACACACACACACACACACAAACACAGACACACTTTAGTGTCAACACACACGGGGGAGGGAGGCGTCCTCCAAACCGTATTGACTGACCCTATAGACACTCCAGCTGCTCCACTGCAAAGCCTTGCATGCACCTCCCGCGCGTCCCCTCAAAAAGCAGCCCCACCCACTGTCCCTACCTATTTCCGAAAAGAGGTAAAGAGTGAACTAGTTGGCTGCTTGTTAACTGTAGCACAGCCGCCCAGGCGAGAATGGAAACAAATAAAAAAGAAACAACAAATCCTCTCAGTCCCAGGCGTCATGATGGCGCCGGCCACAACTTGGAGGACTTGAAAGTTACGGTGCCTCCAAAGGTGAAACGCACGGGAGAGGGAAAGCCAAGCGCTCCTCTGCGCTCTCCTCCTCGGCCCGACACGGAGACTTTTCTAGCAAAAGCAGGGCATATGCCAGGAAGGGAAGCCTTCTGTCTAGGAGGCATCTCTCTTTCCCCCGCAGTCTGCGTAATTGTGATATACCTCCTCCTGATAGATATTTTCATTTTCTTCCTTTTTTTCCCTCCATTCATTTCGCCCCCCTCCCTGTTGCATCCCCCAATCCCCGGGCGGGGTTGCTAAGGAAACGGCCGCTTGGCAACGCGCGCGAGCCGGGGGCCGCCGGCGGCCGCTGCGCCCCGCGCTGCTTCTGCTGCTGCTGCTGCTGCGGCGGCGATTGCAGCCGCCGCCGCTCGCCCAGCCTCCGCCTTCGCCGCGCCTCCTCCCTCACTCGCCGCGCGCTCGCCTCCTCGCTAGATGGTGTGCGAGCCGCCCGAGAATCAGACACGCTCCGGACTCGGCCAAAAGCAACCGAGAGGAGGTGTAGTGTGGTGCCAGGGGGTGGGAGGGGAGGGAGGGAGGGACAGCGAAGAGGAAAAGGCGGGGAGGCAAAAAAGAGAGAGAAAAACAACACCCAACAACTAGAGAGGGGAAAGAAAGAAAGAAAAGAAACCCACCCATCCACAAAAAAGAAAAAAAAAAAAGAAAGAAAAAAAGAAAAAAAAATCCTGTGGCGCGCCGCCTGGTTCCCGGGAAGACGCCAGCACCAGGGGGTGGGGGAGTGCGAGCTGAAAGCTTCTGGAGAGTGAGCAGCCCTAGCAGGGATGGACATGATGCTGTTGGTGCAGGGTGCTTGTTGCTCGAACCAGTGGCTGGCGGCGGTGCTCCTCAGCCTGTGCTGCCTCCTGCCCTCCTGCCTCCCGGCTGGACAGAGTGTGGACTTTCCCTGGGCGGCCGTGGACAACATGATGGTCAGAAAAGGGGACACGGCGGTGCTTAGGTAGGAAGAACGGCGTGCTTTTCGTACTTGTCTCAGTCTATCCTTCTCTCTCTCTCTCTCCACCTTTTTATTTTTATTTATTTTTTTTGCCCCCCCCCTTTTTTTTTTAAACTGAGTAATAACGCTGATGGGGATTGTTATCAAAAGACCACATCTCAAGACACCCAGGTGCTAATTCTGCCCCAGCCCTGCCTGGTCCCTTTCCGCTGGGGCAGGTAGTGAGCTGGGCTCCTGATGCTGAAGCACTTTGCCCGGACGCCAAGTAGCCCCGGGATGAGTGGAGCGTGCGGGTTAGGAGGGGCAGGTGGTACTTTGAAACTCCATTCACGAGGTCTCTGTTTTACTGGCATTGGGTACTCTGGGAGAGTCTGACAAGTTTGTCAGGTTTGTTGCTGTTTGACGCTAGTCTAAGCGACTTTTCCCAACTGCTTGCTCCCAGCTCCCATTTATTTTCCCTCTCAGTTGGACACTTCGGCTCAATTTCTCCCTCTTCAGCTTTCTTTCCTTTTACCGTTTTTCCCCCTTTCTCCCTTCTCTTTCTTTTTTTTCATTCCTCCACCCTCTTCTTACTCTCCCCCCATCCATTGCCTCTTTCCTTCCCTTTTCTATTTTCTCTCCATTCTTTCCTTCTATTCTGATTTTATCCTCAATTTTCTCTTTTTATCACCTCCATTCTAATTCTGCATTCTCTAATTTAACCTCCTTTCCTCCACTCTTCACCCCACCCACTCCGTTTTTGTTCCTCCTTAATGTTCCTATTCTGTGATCTTGTCAGTCCCATTCCCATCTCTTTCCCTATCGCTGCCACATACACAGGCATCTTCCTTCTAACACCCTCCAGTACTATTTTTTTTTTTTTCACCCTGGCAAATCTCTTTTTCTTAAACACACTCCTTCACATATTCTCTACTTCACATCCCCACACACATCGGCTCTTCCATGGTCTAGCAACCACTTTCACATTCAGATTCTCTTTTACTGTTCAAAAGGCACACACTTCTCTACTGTTCCACATGCTGTCACTCACACATGTGTACAACCCTCTTCTCTCTCTCTCTCTCTCTCTCTCTCTCTCTCTCTCTCTCTCTCTCTCTCTCTCTCTCTCCTCATTTTCTCTATTCCCTCTTTCTTCTTTATTCCCTCCCTCCTTCAATTTTCAGTTTTACTCCTTTTTCTCACTCTCCCTTCTCCCTCCTTTTCCCCTAAGCTTGAGCATTGAAATGTTTTGTCATTAATGAACATTCATAGCCTGATGCTACCACTAGCAACAATGCGGAGTGAGCTTCTGGATACCTTTTCTCTCTTGTGAAAATATAAATGGATGATCAGCAGTACTTAGATCTAAACAAGGCTAAACGCCCCTATTCCTTCTTTTCCCATCGCCCTCCCTTCCCCCCGGCACCCCCACCTGATGTACACCTCAGATCTGCCTGAAAGATCTTCTTTCTCTCCACTGGGTGGTAGTTGGCTTCTAAGAGTGGATTGCACAGTATACATGGCATGGCTAAGTGAAAGAGTGGGATATGTTTCTGTTTGGATCATGTAACATATTTTAAATTTAATGATCTGGGATCTGGGTGTGGTATATAACTTACAGCTTCTGAAACATGATTATGAGTCCAAATTTGTGTGGAATACTATTATAGTATCTAATATAAACTAGTAATGTGCTTTTATAATATATCTTCTTATCTTTGCTGTGAACACAGAATGCCACCTGGCATATACAAAAGTAATGCATAATTTTTTAATAACCTAGTAAAATACCTCTTCATTGTTGGTAAAAGCAATGAGCTCTTTGTCACATAGAGGATATAAATTAAGCCCATATTTATGTTCTTTATATTAAGTTTGTTTTAAAAGTTTGAACAATAGTGGTAAGGATGACACACTGTTTTCAGAGGCTGCAAACATACATAATGGGAGTTATAATTTATATGTTTGTAGAAGCATATTGCTTATTTGTAATGAGCATTAATATTTTCAAACTAAAGAATTTGCTAGACTGCTTGTCTTTTGAGGATATACCTTGGCATTTTGCTTCTAATGGATAATCTAGTAAATACTGTGGCTAATTAAAATAGCTGAACTCACGGTTTGCTTCTAGGAGACCTATGGCTAGTTTGCTCATTGCTTCAATACTAAAGCTTCTCTAACTAGTGGGAAAGATATCTTCCCCGTGCTGTTGGTGTGGTGCAGTCCTTGTTTACTTGTATGCACTGTACCTCACCCCCTCCTGTTTTTTTTTTTCTGTGTCCTGACTTTGTAATATCCTATTTCAGGGAACTTTTGACTTTTAACATTTTTAAACAGACTAGAATCTCTGTCTTTTCTAAATGATATTCCTAACTAATTACAGTGTGTGTTTTTTAAAATAAAAACAATCCTTTTTTTGGTCATATGCAATAGAAATCTGAGCTGCATTACTTTTTATCCGAAGTAATTTGCTTATAGTAATTCTAGAATTCTCTAGGGACCATCCCATTTTTATTTTTTTTATTTTTTTTACATCGTCCATGGATTTTTAACTGTTTTTACATATATATTTACAAGAAATTCTCAGTTATTTTTCTTTACTCTCCTCCAATAAAGGAGTATCTATGAACAGAGCAACTGGTATTGGCTCTGTTCATAGACCAGAATAGACAGAACTTAAAAGACTAATTGAGTGTAAGTCAGGTGACATATTTTTCATCAAAAGTAATGTTACAGAGTTATATAGTGTGTTTTTGCTTTGGATATTTAGAATTGTGCTTGATGTTGTGCTGTAACTCATAGAAAACAAAACAAAATAAACAAAATTTACCCTCAACTATAGACTCCAGCCCCAATTAAGGCACAGAAATCTAATGCTCAAGAAAATATTTTACTGAATTACATTATATCATTTACTAAGTTTTACACAATATACTCCATTTTTCATCTAACACATTCCTCAAGGTGTCTCCAATAAAAAGCAAATAGTGGCATAACAGTTATCAAATAACTTTAAGAGCCAAAGGCCTGAAAGTGCAAACATGTCAGTCAGTGACTCTGTTGCTTGTGGTTACATTAATGAAACAGAAGTTTAAAGGTCGGATGTAACATGTTTATCTCCAAAATGCCACAATATCTGTTTTAGAGAAAGAATCAAGAAAAACAAAACTCTCCTTAACGCATGTTATAATGTAAAAGGGAAATACATTCTCTGGTCCACTACCCATATCTATAATTTGTAAACCATCTTCTCTGTTTAGCCTAAATAGAGGACTTACTATGAAATTTCATTTACTAATTTCAGCATGCTTATCACTTTAACTTTGGCTTTTAAAGTTAGTAAAACAATACATTAAATGTCAAAATGTCCATTTCTTCTAATGATGTTATTATGCACTGATAAATCTCTGAAGGATTCACTTGAGCTTTTTGGACCTTCTTTATAAAGTATTTAAGGATGCACCTACTCAATAAAGTAACATTTGGTATCTCTTACTTAAACTTTGGATTCAAATGAATGCATGGATGTCTAGAGTACATTGTAATTAGTTACAAGCACAAATTAAACATTCATTAATTTCTTAAAAAGTGACTTTGATTGCAACTACATTTATATGTATTAGTGTTTTATACTTAAGAAAACTTGTTAAACTGTATATGGAGAAATTAACTTTTTCTCCAGTCTTCATATTGCATTTTGCAGTACGTAGAAGATTTGAGTTAATGTTTCATGGGGCCACAGAGCAAAGGACAGGAGATGATAGAACCACATTGATCACACTTCAGGATCTGGTATTTCTACACGTGGAAAATCAAGGAGAACATAACTCAGCTCTGTATCATTACATAAATTTCAGATGACTTTTTAAATATAGTTTTACAGTTGTCTTAGTGTGACTAAATTATTTTATTCTTACCTTATTAACAAGCACAGTTATGTTAATGTTATGTTTAATATTCTTTGGAAACAATACAAGGAACATCCTCATTTACATCCTGCCAGTGTCTGAACATTTTTAAAAACACATGTCATTTTAAGGAAATTATTTCAATCTGTTTCTACTTCAACTCTTCTGTATGAATTTTGCACATTTTACGTCACCTTCCTGTTATGAATTCAAAATATTCTCTTCTGTGCTTGTCATGTTTTAACCAAAGGAAAGGAGAGTCTTTTCTTAAATGTGACATATTTTACATGAGCAAAGTTGAACACACATCTGTTAATGTAGTTGATTGAAATGGAACTTTTATGAGATCCTAATATGATATTGTAAAAGGAAGAAACTTTTGCTTAAAGCAAAAACATAAAGCACATTTCCACAGAAGGTACATCCGTTGGAAGACACAAAACTTTTATAAGTGGACTTACAACTGGATATGACAAGTATTCATTACTTCTCAGCTTATTTTTCCTATACATTTGCCTTTGATTAAGTTAATTCATTTTATTTGGATGCAAGAAAGTAAATGATTCACATATGGGAATGGAGAATTACCAATAGCAATAGAAATCAATTATGCTGTACTTTCAGAATATCATTGAAAAGTCTCATATTATCTGTTGAGTCACACCTACACATTCCAGGTACATTTTCAAGTATATAGATATTTCAATTTTGAAACATTAAGGCATTATTTAAAAACCTATATACTTATTAAATAGTGCCATTGAACAAGTATATTTAAAATTCTGATTCCCCCCCCCCTTTTTTTTTTAAAAAAAAGAAGGGGTGATAAATTGTCATACTGACTTAATTGGAAAACTGTGTTTCAGAATATGGAATGAATTGGTACAATATTACGTGTTGGGATTTTTCTGAGCTGCCCTATTAGCATTAATTAATACTTGGCATATCAATATGCAATCATTTACTATACTTAAGAACAATAGTATTTTTAACATTTATAAAGAATTTTTTCCCCCACAATCTTTTCATCCTGAAGACTTGGTAAGCCCATGCAGTTATAGAACTCTTGGAACACAAACATGTTAATGAAGTACTTATTTTAAATAGATTGGCTTT